CTTGGAAAATTTGGTTTAAAAATCCACGTTTATTGGTCTATGGGTCCTTGGAAAATATTTCTTAAAAAATCCACATTTATTGGTCTATGGGTCCTTGGAAAATTTGGTTTAAAAATCCACGTTTATTGGTCTATGGGTCCTAGGAAAATATTTCTTAAAAAATCCACGTTTATTGGTCTATGGGTCCTTTGAAAATTTGGTTTAAAAAATCCACGTTTATTGGTCTATGGGTCCTTGGAAAATTTGGTTTAAAAAATTCACGTTTACTGGTCTATGGGTCCTTGCAAAATTTGGTTTAAAAAAATCCACGTTTATTGGTCTATGGGTCCTTGGAAATTATTCCTTAAAAAATCCACGTCTACTGATCTATGAGTTCTTGGAAAATTTGGTTTAAAACATCCACCTTGGATAGTCTATGGGTCCTTGGAAAATTGAAAAAAATTACGTTTATTGGACTTGAAAAATATTCCTTAAAAAATCCACGTTTATTGGTCCTTGAAAAATATTCCTTAAAAAATCCACGTTTATTGGTCCTTGAAAAATATTCCTTAAAAAATCCACGTTTATTGGTCCTTGAAAAATATTCCTTAAAAAATCCACGTTTATTGGTCCTTGAAAAATATTCCTTAAAAAATCCACGTTTATTGGTCCTTGAAAAATATTCCTTAAAAAATCCACGTTTATTGGTCCTTGAAAAATATTCCTTAAAAAATCCACGTTTATTGGTCCTTGAAAAATATTCCTTAAAAAATCCACGTTTATTGGTCTTTTGGTCCTTGAAAAATATTCCTTAAAAAATCCACGTTTATTAGTCTTTTGGTCCTTGAAAAGTATTCCTTAAAAAATCCACGTTTCTTGGTCTTTTGGTCCTTGAAAAGTATTCCTTAAAAAATCCACGTTTATTGGTCTTTTGGTCCTTGAAAAATATTCCTTAAAAAATCCACGTTCATTGGTCTTTTGGTCCTTGAAAAATATTCCTTAAAAATCCACGTTTATTGGTCTTTTGGTCCTTGACAAATATTCCTTAAAAAATCCACGTTTATTGGTCTTTTGGTCCTTGAAAAATATTCCTTAAAAATTCACGTTTATTGGTCTTTTGGTCCTTGACAAATATTCCTTAAAAAATCCACGTTTATTGGTCTTTTGGTCCTTGACAAATATTTCTTAAAAAATCCACGTTTATTGGTCTTTTGGTCCTTGAAAAATATTCCTTAAAAATCCACGTTTATTGGTCTTTTGGTCCTTGACAAATATTCCTTAAAAAATCCACGTTTATTGGTCTTTTGGTCCTTGAAAAATATTCCTTAAAAATTCACGTTTATTGGTCTTTTGGTCCTTGACAAATATTCCTTAAAAATCCACGTTTATTGGTCTTTTGGTCCTTGAAAAATATTCCTTAAAAAATCCACGTTTATTGGTCTTTTGGTCCTTGACAAATATTTCTTAAAAAATCCACGTTTATTGGTCTTTTGGTCCTTGAAAAATATTCCTTAAAAATCCACGTTTATTGGTCTTTTGGTCCTTGACAAATATTCCTTAAAAAATCCACGTTTATTGGTCTTTTGGTCCTTGAAAAATATTCCTTAAAAATTAACGTTTATTGGTCTTTTGGTCCTTGACAAATATTCCTTAAAAAATCAAAGTTATTGGTCTTTTGGTCCTTGAAGAATATTCCTTAAAAAATATTCCTCAAATAATACACGTTTATTGGTCTTTTGGCCTTTGAAAAATATACCTTAAAAAATCCACGTTTGTTGGTCTTTTGGTCCTTGAAACATATTCCTTAAAAATCCACGTTTATTGGCCTTTGGTTCTTGAAAAATATTCCTTAAAAAATCCACGTTTATTGAAATTTCGTGTCCTTGAGAAATATTCCTTAAAAAATCCACGTTTAATGGTCTTTTGTTCCTTGAAAAATATTCCATAACAAAAACCAAGTTTAATGGTCTTTTGGTCCTTGAAAAATATTCCTTAAAAAAAAACACGTTTATTGGTATTTTGGCCTTGAAAAATATTCCATAAAAAATCCACGTTTAATGGTCTTTTGGTCCTTGAAAAATATTCCTTAAAAAAACACGTTTATTGGTATTTTGGCCTTGAAAAATATTCCTTAAAAAAAACACGTTTATTGGTATTTTGGCCTTGAAAAATATTCCTTAAAAAATCCACGTTTATTGGTATTTTGGCCTTGAAAAATATTCCTTAAAAAATCCACGTTTATATGTCTTTTGGTCCTTGACAAATATTCCTTAAAAAAATCCACGCTTATATGTCTTTTGGTCCTTGAAAAATATTCCTTAAAAAATCCACGTTTATATGTCTTTTGGTCCTTGAAAAATATTCCTTAAAAAATCCACGTTTATATGTCTTTTGGTCCTTAACAAATATTCCTTAAAAAATCCACGCTTATATGTCTTTTGGTCCTTGAAAAATATTCCTTAAAAAATCCACGTTTATATGTCTTTTGTCCTTGAAAAATATTCCTTTAAAAAATCCAAGTTTGTTGGTCTTTTGGTCCTTAAAAAATATTCCTTAAAAAATCCACGTTTATATGTCTTTTGGTCCTTGAAAAGTATTCCTTAAAAAATCCACGTTTATTGGTCTTTTGGTCCTTGAAAAATATTCCTTAAAAAATCCACGTTTATTGGTCTTTTGGTCCTTGAAAAATATTCCTTAAAAAATCCACGTTTATTGGTATTTTGATCCTTGAAAAATATTCCTTAAAAAACCCACGTTTATTGGTCCTTGAAAAATATTCCTTAAAAAATCCACGTTTAGGTATTTTGATCCTTGAAAAATATTCCTTAAAAAATCCACGTTTAGGTATTTTGATCCTTGAAAAATATTCCTTAAAAAATCCACGTTTATTGGTCTTTTGGTCCTTGAAAAATATTCCTTAGAAAATCCACGTTTATTGGTCTTTTGGTCCTTGAAAAATATTCCTTAAAAAATCCACGTTTATTGGTCTTTTGGTCCTTGAAAAATATTCCTTAAAAATCCACGTTTATTTTGTCTTTTGGTCCTTGAAAAATATTCCTTAAAAATCCACGTTTATTGGTATTTGTGTCCTTGAGAAATATTCCTTAAAAATCCACATTTATTGGTCTTTTGGTCCTTAAAAAATATTCCTTTAAAAATCCACGTTTTTTCGTCTATTTGTCCTTGAAAAATATTCCTTAAAAAATCCACGTTTATTGGTCTTTTGGTCCTTGAAAAATATTCCTTAAAAAATCCAAGTTTATTGGTCTTTTGGTCCTTGAAAAATATTCCTTAAAAAATCCACTATTATTGGTCTTTTGGTCCTTGAAAAATATTCCTTAAAAAATCCACGTTTATTGGTCTTTTGGTCCTTGAAAAATATTCCTTAAAAAATCCACGTTTATTGGTCTTTTGGTCCTTGAAAAATATTCCTTAAAAAATCCACTATTATTGGTCTTTTGGTCCTTAAAAAATCCACGTTTATTGGTCTTTTGGTCCTTAAAAAATCCACGTTTATTGGTCTTTTGGTCCTTAAAAAATCCACGTTTATTGGTCTTTTGGTCCTTAAAAAATCCACGTTTATTGGTCTTTTGGTCCTTAAAAAATCCACGTTTATTGGTCTTTTGGTCCTTAAAAAATCCACGTTTATTGGTCTTTTTGTCCTTAAAAAATCCACGTTTATTGGTCTGTTGGTCCTTAAAAAATCCACGTTTATTGGTCAGTTGGTCCTTGAAAAGTATTCCTTAAAAAATCCACGTTTATTAGTCTTTTGGTCCTTGAAAAATATTCCTTAAAAAATCCACATTTTTTGGTCTTTTGGTCCTTAAAAAATATCCCTTAAAAAACCCACGTTTATTGGTCTTTTGTGGTCCTTGAAAAATATTCCTTAAAAATCCACGTTTATTGGTCTTTTGGTCCTTGAAAAATATTCCTTAAAAAATCAAAGCTTTTTGTTCTTTTGGTCCTTGAAAAATATTCCTTAAATATCCACGTTTATTGGTCTTTTGGTCCTTGAAAAATATTCCTTAGAAATCCAGGTTTATTGGTCCTTGAAAAATATTCCTTAAAAAATCCACGTTTATTGGTCTTTTGGTCCTTGACAAATATTCCTTAAAAAATCCACGTTTATTGGTCTTTTGGTCCTTGACAAATATTCCTTAAAAAATCCACGTTTATTGGTCTTTTGGTCCTTGACAAATATTCCTTAAAAAATCCAAGTTTATTGGTCTTTTGGTCCTTGAAAAGTATTCCTTAAAAATCCACGTTTATTGGTCTTTTGGTCCTTGAAAATATTATTTAAAAATCCACATTTATTGGTCTTTTGGTCCTTGAAAATATTATTTAAAAATCCACATTTATTGGCCTTTTGGTCCTTGAAAAGTATTCCTTAAAAAATCCACGTTTATTGGTCTTTTGGTCCTTGAAAAAATATTCCTTAAAAAATCCACGTTTATTGGTCTTTTGGTCCTTGAAAAATATTCCTTAAAAAATCCACGTTTATTTTGTCTTTTGGTCGTTGAAAAATATTCCTTTTTTTGTCTTTTGGTCCTCGAAAAATATTCTTTGAAAAATCCACGTTTATTAGACTTTTGGTACTTGAAAAATTCCTTAAAAAGTCCCCGTTTATTGGTACTTGGAAAATTTGTTGAAAAATCCACATTTTATTGTCTTTTGGTCCTTGAAAATTTTCGTTTAAAAAATTCACGTATATTGGTCTTTTGGTCCTTGAAAAAATGTGTCTTAAAAAATCCACGTATATTTGTCTTTTGGTCCTTGAAAAAATATTTCTTAAAAAATCCACGTATATTTGTCTTTTGGTCCTTGAAAAATATTCCTTAAAAAATCCACGTTTATTGGTCTTTTGGTCCTTGAAAAATATTCCTTAAAAAAATCCATGTTTATTGGTCTTTTGGTCCTTGAAAAATATTCCTTAAAATATCCTCAATTATTTGTTTCCCGATCCTTGCAAATATATTTTGTTATTAATTTATTTAATAACTTTTTCATTTTCTTTCTTCCAGATCGTCTATATTTTGTGGCGTTCAAAAAGAATTTCAAACCGAAAAATACACCCAGCACACATTATTTTAGCATCGATGATGATTTTATCTATGAGAATTTTTACAATGATTTCGGGCCGTTGAATATATGCATGCTATATCGCTATTGTCAGAAATTGAATGCCAAATTGAGCAACAAAACGCTGGCCAGTAAGAAAATCGTACACTATACGTCCATGAATCCGGCAAAGAGGGTGAATGCCGCATATCTAATAGGAGCATTTTCGGTAAGATCATATCTTCGCTAATATCTCTCAAATATTAAATTAATTATCTTCCCTTTTCTTGCAGATAATTTACCTAAACAAAAGCCCCGAAGAGGCGTATCGACCTCTGGTTGTGGGCGATATACCTGCCTATACACGTTTCTGTGATGCTTCCTATGGTCCAAGTGGTTATAAAATCTCCCTAATCGACTGTCTCAATGCCATTTCGAAGGCCATGAAGGCGGGCTTCTTCAATTTCGAGGACTTCGATGCCGAGGAATACGAGTACTATGAACGCGTTGAAAACGGTGATTTCAATTGGATTGTACCTCAGAAATTTATTGCATTTTGTGGGCCACATCAAAAATCTAAAACACTGCCGAACGGTTATCCTTGCCATTCCCCCGAAACATATTTTGAATATTTTCGCAGTAACAACGTGACGACGATAATCCGTTTGAATGCCAAGGTCTATCATGCCTCCAGTTTTGAGAATGCCGGTTTCGATCATAAGGATCTATTTTTTATAGATGGCAGTACGCCGAGTGATTTGATATTGAAGAAATTCTTGCAGATATGCGAAACGACAAAGGGTGCCATTGCAGTGCATTGTAAAGGTATGCTATTCGGTTTTTAGATTTATGGGTCCCGAAGGATACTGTCTCGGAAGTAATGGTTCTAAAGAGACCGTCTGAGGATAAGGATCAAGGACTATGGTCCTAAAAAGCTTGTATGCTCAAAAATAAAGGTCCTAAGCGGCGATTATCTCTCAGATAACCGTTCTCTCAGATCCTGTCAGGCCATTATCTCCCAGATAACAGACCCAAAAAGATATTTTCTAGATAATGGTCCTGAACTGGCATTATCAGATAATGATGCTCAACGGACATTATCTTCCAGATAATGGTCCTGTTCGGCCTTTATCTTCCCGATAATAGTTTTGGACGGTCATTATCTTCCAGATAATTGTCTTACCGGCCATTATCTCCCAGATAATGGTCTCTGAGGTAATTGCCTCGCCGGGCATTATCTCCCAGATAATTGTCCCTACCGGCAATTATCTCCTAGATAATAGTCCTAAAAGGCCATTATCTTCTAGATAATAGTCCTGAAAGGCCATTATCTTTCAGATAATAGTCTTGACCGACCATTATCTCTCAGATAATAGTCCTGACCGACCATTATCTCCAAGATAAATGTTCCAACCGACCATTATCTCCGAGATAATAGTTCCGACCGGCCATTATCTCCGAAATAATAGTCCTGACTGACCATTTTCTCCTAGATAATGGTTCTAATCGGCAATTATCTCCTAGATAACAGTCCTGAACACCCATTACCTCCCAGATGAAGGTCATAATCGACCATTATCTCTGAGATAATATTCCTAACCGGCAATTATCTCCCAGACAATGGGCCCTGTGGGCTTATTTATATTTCTTTGTAAGGTAAATAAATGAAATGAAATGGTGCTTATCGGCCATTATATCCTAAATAATGGTCCTGACCAATTATTATTTTCCAAATAATGGTCCTGACCGAGCATTATTTCCCAAATAATGGTCCTTACCGACCATTATCTCTCAGATAATAGTCTTGAACGACCATTATCTCCGAGATAATAGTTCTGACCGTCCATTATCTCCGAGATAATAGTCCTAACCGGCCATTATATCCGAGATAATAGTTCTTACCGTCCATTATATCCGAGATAATAGTTCTTACCGACTATTATCTCCGAGATAATAGTTCTTACCGACTATTATCTCCGAGATAATAGCTCTTACCGACCATTATCTCCGAGATAATAATTCTAACCGGCCATTATCTCCAACATAATGGTGCTGACCGGCCATTATATCCCATGTAATAGCCCTCATCGGTCGTTTTCTGCAATATAATCGTCAAGACTATCTATGATGTAATGGTTCTAATCAGCCCTTATCTCCCAGATAATGCTTCAGATCACATACTTTGCCTATTATCCTCTAAGCGAGAGATAATGATCTTTACTCATCACTTATTTTTCTTTTAGCTGGTCTTGGTCGCACTGGAAGTTTAATTGGCGCATATATTATGAAACACTATAACTTCTCAGCTCTGGAAGCTATTGCATGGTTACGTCTTTGCCGTCCAGGTTCAGTGATTGGTCATCAGCAACAGTGGATGGAAGAGTGAGTAACTATTGCTACATTATCTCTCTTTATTCAATTCATCTCTCCCTCACTCTCTCTCACTTTTCCATAGCAAACAATCCTGGCTTTGGTCCGAAGGCGAACGCCTGCGTAAACGCAGCAGCTCACAAACACCTGTACATAAATTCGGCATCTACAGTTTGGTCTATAAAAATTGTCCCGTAACTGCTGGCCAGTTACTGGTCAACACCGAAAATAATACCGAACTCTTAATGACTCGTGTCAAGGGCATATCACAAAAAGTTGATACCATGCATTTGCATGAGGATCAAACCGATTCAAATCAACTGGACTCATTGGATTCCTATGAGAATGGTAATAAACCGTCAGTAGTGAGTAATACCGTAACCGTCACCACCACCAAGACGACCACCACCCCTACACCACGTTCCCGTGTACTGACGAGCAGTAAAGATGGTGCAATAACACCGCCAACAAGTGCCAGTGACAATGATAATGATGTTACCGAAACTGAAGAGGATTCGACGGCATCAAATCTTAATTCGACATTTATTGTTTCACGAAGGCGTAAATCACCCAGTATACAACAACAACAGCAGCAACAACAACAACGTTTGGAAACGACCACCAACACCACAACAACAACTACAACAAATGCCTCGCTAGCTTCGTTGGGTATTAAAGTGGGACAATCACCACTTGGTGCCGGGTTCTTTAGCATACGCCGTACGCCGCCCATTAACAATAATGACCCATCGTTAATTGGCAATAATTCCATAACAACTTCATCGGCGGCGGCGGCGACGTCAGCAACGACGGCTCTTGGTGGTAGTGGTGGCGGTGCTCCACTCTACTCGGAAAAGAAATTGAAGAAACCCTCGGTCTATGAGCCGGCAGCTGCTATCCAGAGACCCACAATAGCATCAACGGTTAAAATGGTCCAGGCGGCCATCGAAAAGAAAAATGCTCAAACTCAGGGTGATAAACTTAATCAAATCAAGGCTATGCGTCGTCAGCATAATTCGCGATCGGGAGGTGCTACAGTGTAAGTTTTGTTTCCAGGCTTTTAGTTTTTTCGTATAATATAAAGTGTTAAGATGAGTAGTTCACGCAAAGGAATTTATATATGGAGTTGAGACAATGCATTCGCTCCTCCTACTTTTATGAGATTGGTAGAAACGTAGCGAAATTTTCCCAATTCGAACCAATTAGTTGGTTCCAGACGGTTTAATTTAAAGCAGTTGATGAAAGCATTTTTTAACAATATTTTTCAAGGACCAATAAACCAATAAATGAGGCATTTTAACCCGCATTTTTCAAGGACCAACAGACCAAAAATCGTAGATTTTTTGAACCAAATTTTTTAAGGACCAGCAGAGCAATAAGTATATTTTTTTTAAATTATAATTTCAAAGAACAACAGACCAATACACGTGCATTTTTAAAAAAATTCCCAAGGATCCATAGACCAAAAAACGCGGATTTTTAAACCAAGTTTTCCAAGGACCCATAGGTCCATAAATGTGGATTTTTTAATCCAAATTTTCCAAGGACCTATAGACCAATAAATGTAGATTTTGTAAACCAAAATTTCCAAAGAACCATAGACCAATAAACGTAAATTTTCTAATCCGCATTTTCCAAGGACCAACAGATCAATAAACGAGGAATTTTAACCCGTATTTTACAAGGATCAGCAGACCAATAAACGAGCGAAATTTAACCCGTATTTTTCAAGGACCAAAAGACCAACGAACGTGGATTTTTTTGAAGACTAATTTCCAAGGAGCAACAGACCAATAAACATGGATTTTTTAAAAAATAATTTTCAATAAACAGGTTTTTTAAACCATATTTTCCAAGGATTAACAGACCAATAAACTAGGATTGGAACAGATTAATAAAGATGGATTTTTTTAAAGAATAATTTACAAGGAGCAACAGACCAATAAACATGGATTTTTTAAAGAATAATTTTCAATAAATAGTTTTTTTTAAACCATATTTTCCAAGGATCGACAGACCAATAAACTAGGATTTTTATACCCTCAGACATAGGGCTACAAAGAGTATATATTATTTGATACGGCCAAAACGTGCCTCATCGAAATAACGCCTTTAGACCCCAGGTCTCTTTGGACCAAATCCGTTTCAGGGCATTTGGAGTCAATCTAACGAAGTCCGTCCGTCCATCGGTCTGGCTCTGTTGCGCACGATAACTCTCGAGAGAGTATCCGATTTGGTCGTAATATTATTATCAAACTTAGATCGAGTTCGGAGATGGGTACTCCTTCTGGTACCTCCCCCACAAAATGTCAACATTTTCAAAGAAAATAATTGACTGTACAGAAAGATAAAGGATAATCCGGTTTTGCCCCAAACTTTGCAAATCCTAATATTTGCATCGGTGCTAGGTCAGGTGCGAAAATGGACAATATCGGTCAACTCCATCAAGTACCTCCCCCACAAAGGTCGACATTTTGAATATGCATAATTTTTAAAAAATGTGATGTAAGAATCCACTTATCTTCAAATTACACACATCTCAATATTTTATTAACCCAAGGTCTGCTGCGAAGATGGAATATATCGGTCCAACCCTTCTAGTAAACAAAGGGTCGAAATTTTCAAAGAAATATATTTTCTGCACAGAAAGAGAAATGATAATCCTATTGTGCTCCAACTCCGCAAATCTTAATATTTGCATCAGTGCTAGGTCATGTGCGAAAATGGACAATATCGGTCCACTCCATTAAGTACCTTCCCCTCAAAGGGGCAAAATTTTGATTAATTACAACTCTTAAATAAATAAAATGTGATGTAAGAGCCCGATTGTCTTTAAATTTCACACATCCCAATAATTTTATTAACTCAAGGTCTGGTCTGAAGATGGAATGTATCGGTCAAATCCTTCTAGTACCTCCCCCACAAAGGGTCAAAATTTTCAAAGAAATATATTTTCTGCACAGAAAGAGAAATGATAATCCTATTGTGCTCCAACCCTGCAAATCCCAATATTTGCGTCAGTGCTACGTCAGGTGCGAAAATGGACAATATCGATCCACTCCATTAAGTACCTTCCCCACAAAGGGTCAAAATTTTGATTAATTACAACTCTTAAATAAATATAATGTGATGTAAGAGTCCGATTGTCTTTAAATTTCACACATCCCAATAATTTTATTAACTCAAGGTCTGGTGTGAAGATGGAACATATCGGTTCACACCTTCTGGTACCTCCCCCATAAAGCGTCACAATTTTGAATATCTATGAAGCTCAAAAAACGCGAAATTTAAATTTGATTCCATTCAGACTTGGCACAGCTCAATATTTCTATCAACACAAAATTTGTTATCAGGATGGTAGGGATCAGACCATTCATCCTGGTACCTCCCTCACAAAGGGTCAACGTTTTGAATAACCAAAACAATCATAAAATCCGAAATAAGCATCCGGTTCTCTTCGTATTTCACACATACCATTATTTATACTAACACAAGATCTACTGTGAAGATGGGATATATCGGTCTACTCCTTTTGGTACCTTCCCCGCAAAGGTTCAAAATTCAATAAAACCCGAAATTATCAACCGATTCCATGTAGACTTGGCATATCTCTATATTTCTATCAACACAAGATCTGCTATAAAGATGGTAAAGATCAGACCATTCCCTCTGGTAGCTCCCCTCAATATTTTGAATAACCCAAACGATTATTAAATCCGAAATAAGCATCCGGTTCCCTTCATATTTCACACATCGCAATATTAACCCAAGGTCTGGTGTGAAATTGAGATATATTAGTCCCCTCCTTCCGGTACCTCCCCCACTAAGGGTCACAATTTTCAATACTCTTATCTGTCATAACTTGTGAAACAAGTCAGCTATTCTTTACAACTTACTTTATACACAAGTTTTAAATAAATCCGTTTTAAAGTGTTCTGAGGTTACATTAAATATATTAAGAAAAAAATTGTTGATGTAAAGGAAAAGACCAACAGTTAATCAGCCCTTTTCCATTGCTCTTTCTTACAGTGAAACCGAGAATCCTTTGCGTCATACCCGGGCCCGGTCGCAGCCATTTCGCAATAACAATAACATTGTTAATATGTTACCTACAAATACAACAGCGGCAACAGCAACGGCAGGTGGACAATTTCTGGCAATGGGTAAAAGTTCAGCAGCAGCCGGAAATGATACAGCAAATAATTTATTAAATAATAACAACAATAATAATAACAACAACAACATTAATAATAACAATCATTGCAATAACCATAATAATAATAACAACAACAACAATAATAATAACATTATTAATAACAGCAGTAGCAGCAGTAATGGTGTCACAACATTACCATCATCTTCATCTGCAGGAGTTGGTAGTGGTAACACAACAACAACAACCACAACGGCATCGGGTATTAACAATTCAACCATAACAACACGGGCACGCAGTTTAGCCATTTATAGTAAACGGTAAGTTCACCAGAAACCCCCCAACCAACTACCCACACTTCCCTCTGACAACACACACCAACTTCAAAATAATCCCAAGACCTCCGACCCTTTTAAAGTTCAATATATTTGTTGTTATTTTGAAATTCGAATGTTTAGCGATCGTGTGTGAAAAAAAAAAAACAAAACTTGACAAAACAAGATTATTTTGTTATTGCTTCCCTGTTTTGTTACCCTAATGTTTGCTATCTTCCTTCCCTCTTCTATCCCCATTACAATAAACCCAAAAAAAAAATAAATTAAAATACCAATTATTTTAGATCCACTCGAAACAAACCACCTTCCTCCTCGTCCACATCCAAAAATATGAATAGTACTACTACCCCTAGAACAATTGTTACCCGCCAAAGCTTTAAACGTTCAATGTCTTCCAGTCTACCGTGTGCAAGAAAAGTTTTCTTTTTAACGTAAAACGTGTTTGCCACCTACGCACCCAACCACATCCCCTTCCCTACAAACTGCGTCCAAAAGCGTGAATGAATAAGAAAGTATGTTAGCTTTTTTCTTATCATGTATTTTTTAAAAAATTTGTTTTCCTGTTTTTTAATAATTAAATTTAAAGTTTTACCACTTTTTTGTTATTGGCCTAATTGCTTTGAATGTTGTTCTACAATTGTGTTTTTGTTCATGTTGCCAATTCTTGCGTGTTCTTTTTTTTTTCTTTTTTCCATTTTTTTTTATAGAATATTAAATTTTAATAATATTTAAATTTGTTAATTTTGGTACAGTGGATATGTTGGGTAGCTTTAGATTAATGTATTATTGATTTTGATGCCTGTATTAGCAAGAAGGAAATGATAAGGAGGTGGAACTTTACCACATCCTCAATAGATATATTGTGGCCTTCTAAGAATAGGAAGCCTGTTGATGGTATTTAGGTCTGTTGACGGTAATGGAGATATATGATCAGTAAGAAGAGTCTTTTATTGTCAGAAGTCTCACAAGGATCTTTTATATCAAGACGATCATAGAAGACCGGAAGGTATTCTCAAAGAAGACCAGAAAATCTTCGCATAGAAGACCAAAAGGTCTTCTCATAGAAGATCACTTCACATAGAAGGCCAAGAGATCATCTCATAGAAGACCAAGAGGTCTTCTCATAGAAGTCCAAGAGATCTTATTATAGAAGACCAATCGGTTTTTCATAGATGAGATGGTCTTCTATGAGAAAAGGATAGATGGTCTTCTATGAGAAAACTTCCAAAAACACGAAAATACATTTTGACGGTTTTCTATGGATTGGAGGGCTTTTGGAAGAGATATTTTCCAGATCGTTGAATAAAGTCTTTTCTAATTTGTATTCTATAAATAGAAAATCTTTAATCGGTCTTGGAAAGTTAAGGAACACTAGACCTTAAAAACCTTTTTTTAGGAAGTTTGTTAAAAGCATTTCCATGAAAGAAAGACTTGTAGGTAGTAATCAATAGAATATCTTCGATCGGCCTTCGACGGATTTATGGCAAAACGTAGATTTTTTAAAAATATTTTTTTAGGTCTATATGTCCTGTCTATTATTTTTTTAAGGTTCATCTAATCATTAAAAGTGTATTTTTTAAAAATAATTTTTCAAGGATCATCCGACCAATAAACGTGGATTTTTAAAAAATATTTTTTCAAGGACTATCTGACCAATAAACGTGGATTTCTAAAAAATATTTTTTCAAGGACCATCAGGCCAATAAAAAATTTGATTTTTAAAAAAATATTTTAAGGACCATTCGACCAATAAACGTGAACATTTTAAAAATATTTTTCCAATAAACCCGGACTTTTTGAAAATATTTTTTGAAGGACTATCTGACCCAAGAATCCACGTTTATATTCCTTTAAATATATCATTTCAAGGACAATCAGGGAATATACTTGGTTTTTTAAATATATTCCTTCGAGGAATATCAGTGGTGTCAAGCTTGAATTTTTTTTCAAGGACTTTAAAATATTTTTGCAAGGACCAACAGGCCAAAGTCTTACACGTTTTTTTAAGAGGTTGTTTTTTAGAGTCATATGTAAAGTTACTATCAAATTTATATTTAGCTTGCCTTTAGGATCTCCTCAAAATGTTAAAACTGGATATTGCTATTGGGCGATTGTCAAAGACATGCCCGACACATGTGGAAAGTGACTTTCACAATTATATTTAGAATTTTTATAGCATATTTTTAGGAGCTCCACAAAATTTCTTTGAACTGACAGTTACACTTACAATTCGCAGAACGGAAGCATTTTTGGTGTGGAAATAAAATACATTCTGATGTATAAATCAAACATTTGCAAGTCGATTAAGAAAAACTGAGTGGAATAATGCTGCTCTAGCCCAAAGTGTGGAAGAAAATCCACTCTAATTCTCGTCGTTTAGTTGGAGTTTCTCCCTCCCACACAAAACGTCAACATTTTCAAACGAGAAATTAAAATTCGATTCCATTCAGATTTGGTATACGGCATCGGAACCTCCCCTATAAAGGGTCAACAGTTTGAATAATCCTAACGAAAGGCTGGGGGTATACATCTGTCAGCAAAACCAACTGATACTATTTTACTTGTTTTAATTTTTCATTGAATATCAAAATCACACCTCTTCTTGGAAAACCTTGGAAATGTATTTTATTTTGTCTTTTAGAAAATTTCAAAGGTCGTTTTGGGATTGAGCCTCTTACTGGGCTTTTTAGAATTGAAGGCCTCTTGAAAACCTCAAACTTATCCTTTATGTATAAATGTAAAACTTTAAAAAAAAATTGGAAATATTATCTCTTGGAATAAAATACCTTTGACTATGGATAGAAGAGCTTTAGCTGATCTTCTATGGTTTCTTAATTAGATCTCTATGGCCATTTCTATTAACCTAAGGCATCACACAGGTCGAAAACTTCCAAATACGAATAAAAAAAATTTTGAAATGTAGGGACATCTAGGGATGGTAGGATAGATTTCAAAGGTCCTTTTTTGAATTGAAACACCTTACTGGTCTTGAATTGAGAATTGAAGCTCCTTTGGAATTGAAATCCTCAAATTGGTATTTTATGTATAGAAAACCTTTTACATAATTTGAATAGATTATCTCTTGGAATAGAATGCCTTTGATTAGGGATAGAAGATCTTAAGCTGATCTTCTATGGATAGAGGATTCTTAACAGATCTTATATGGACGTTTCTATGTACCTAAGGCTCCCAACAGATCTGAATAGAAAACTTCTACATTCTTCTTCTATGAATAAAATAATTGTAACAGGTATTTTAGGGATGAAAGGGCATGTCTTCTAAAATGTCTTCTCCATAAAAAAGACCACATGAATATCTAACCAAGATACACTCTCGTAAAGGTTTTCTACTGTCTAAAAGGCCTCCTGGAAAGTCTTCTCAACAAAATTTCATTATTTTTGTGTTGTTATTCCACTGTACTAAATTATTAACTACTTCGTTTTTCTTGTTTGGTTTAGTAAAATTTTTCGTAGCTCTTTTATAACATTTTTTATGGCATGTAGCAATTTTCGTTTTCTTTATTTATAGCATTTTCTTGCTTAGTTTTAACTAACAAAATTAAAAAAAAAAAAACATATTTAACCCTAATACTTTGTTAATATTTTACAAAATAAAATAAGCCATCCCTCCCCCTTCCCCTTTCTTAAGCTTTGTACGAAGTCTAATGCAAAAACTTAAATCCTGATGACCTGGTGTTTTGTAGCAACAGAAAAATGCCTATAATTATCACCATCACTACCTACCCCCGCCCCCACCAACCAATAATATTATTAATGAAATCTCCCTCAAAACTATTTTTTTTAAATTGACCCACAAAGCAGCAACTAAATTGTACAAAAAATATAAATTGTGAAAATGTACAAATTATTTAAAAATCAATAAAACCAATAATAATGCACAAATTAATTTTTATATGTATGACTTTTATATACATTATTGAAAATTCTAAAAAAAATATATAAATATTCTATTTAACAAACATTGTTTATTTTGTAAAATAATATTCAATTTATTTATTAGTTTGTATCGAATTTATATAAGTAAAGTAAAAAACCTAGCATCATAACCACTCCTCTATCTGATTTTAATTTTTTTATATATTACTTTTTGTTGTTGTAGCCATCCGAAATTCTGTGTATCCTCTATTATGTTTGTTTTTAATATAACTCACTTTTTACAATAAATGATTTTATGCATGATCAATAAAAACAAAATTCAATTTACAAACCAATGTAAAAAATTTTCCACCCACCCAAAAAAACCTGTTGTATTATTTTTTTTATTATTTTTCTAATGGTTAAGTTGCTCGTGTTTTGTTATCCTTTCCCTCTCCACTTGTTGAATTGATTGCTCTCTGTCTCTTGTCTTGTATACATTTGTTTGTCCAATTTCCGTTGTTGTCGCCTTGTTTGTGAGTGTTTTGTTTATCACCTATTAAAGAAAGAAAAACTATTTTGCGGAAAATTATTTTAATAAATAATTTTAAGGTTTTTTTAAAGGAATCTCCTTTGATTTTTTAAAAGATTAAGTACTTCTTAAGGAATATTGATCCAATCTCTTCATCGGTTCTAAACGGTAACCTATTAAATGTGATTTTTTTTTCAATATTCTATGAAGGACCATCAGATCACTAAATATGGATTATTTAAGAATATTTTGGTAAATACAATCAGACCACTAAATATGAATTTAAAAAAATGATATCAAAGACAATCAAACACTAAATATAGAATTTTTAAGAACATTTTAAGAAGGACCATTAGGCACTAGATATGATTTTTTTACGTTTTCTTAAATCAACATATTAAATTTATATTTTTTCAAGGACCATCAGATCAATAAATGCGGATTTTTAAGAATATTTTTTAAGAACCAACAAAAAACTAAATATTGGGTTTCTAAGAATATTGTTTAAGGACCATCGATACATAAGATCCATAATGTAGATGTTTATACTCTACCCCACATAGTGGTAAGGGTATTATGTCTTAGTGCATTTGTTTGTAAAATGGAGGAGGAAACGAGATAGGGCAATAGTTATTTTTGAGGATCTTCATAGAATCACTTTCTGAGTCGATTTATGCATGTCAGTTCATCCGTCCGCCTGTCCATGTATTCTTGTGAACAAAATGCAGGTCGCATTTATTATCCGACTGAGATGAAATTTTCCAAATTTTGATTAGCCCAAGGACGAACCCTATTGAAATTGGTGAGAATCGGTTCACATTTAAATATAGCTTCCATATATATCGGTCTAGAATGAAGTTCATAAAATTTGGTGAAAATCGGTTTAGATATAGCTATATATCTAAATATCGTAATATGCGCCCCACAAGAATTATATTTGGTTCCAGATATCGGATACATCTCAGAAATACCTCTGCCAAATTGTATCAAGATCGGTTCGGATTTCAATAAAGCTTCCAAATATAACTTCAACCCATTTCGGGTTAATTGTGCACCAAATGATCTGAAATTTGGCATATCTGACTGAATTCAGTCAAGGAAGTATATAAAATTTGATGAAAATCGGTTTATATACATCAAGTGATATTTGGATCAAATATAAGATCATCACATAAATACCTCTGCCAAATTGTATCAAGATCGGTTCAGATTTGTATATAGCTTCCAAATATATCTTTAACCGATTTCGTGCTAATTGTGTACCAAATGACCAATATCAGTTCAAATTACCTGAATTTCGGCACATCCGACCAAATTCAGTCTAGAATGAAATACAGCAAATTTGGAAATCAGATATAGGGTTTTGGGGTTTAAAGTTCCATTACATTCGTTATATGCAATCGACAACAATGACATTTGGTACCAGATATCTTATAGGGTTCGAAAATACCTTTGCCAAATTTAATGAAGATCGAGTAAGATTTGGATATAGCTCCCATATATATCGGAACTCGGCTCCGATATATATATATGTTGTTTAATATAATCTTTGTTGAAGTGATATCATGCACTCTATAGCAACGTTGTTTGGTGTAAAAGATTAAAATGTTTCCGTCAAATTTAGTGAAAATCGATTCAGAATTGGATACGCCTCCTATATATTAGTTCCCTCTGAAACCAAATTATAACTGTTATAAATCCAAATGTTGATAGGTGGTATGATCTACTTCAAAAAAATTCTTTTGTTACAGGAGCTCTACTAAATATGTATAGGAGTGTAGGGTATCATAAAATCAGCCCTGCCCGACTTTTGCCTTTTCCTTACTGGTTTAATCATGGAAAAAATCATAGGACCACTAACCATTGATTTGTATACCCCCTACCTTGGAAAGGAGGGTATATTAAATTTGTCATTTCGTTTGTAACGCCTCTAAATATTCGGCATAAACCCCATAAAGTATATATATTCATGATCAGCACAAAATTCTAAGTCGACTTAAGAATTTTCGTCTGTCTGTCTGCTAAAATCACGATATCAGCTCACATTATTTGACGTAGAGCTTCAAAAATTGACAGAACAATTTGTATTGTGTCTAGGATGGGTGATATTAAAAATGAGATATATCGGTCCACGTTTTCGTATAGCCCCCATATAAGGGTACCTCTCGATATTTGGTATTTTGATGATTTCTGTCACATTTTTTGTTTTCGTGCCTCCGATAGAGGCACAATGCACATATATATGTCGAAGTTTTCGTATAGCCAATGTATAACGGTACCTCTCGATATTCGGCACATATAACGGTTCCTTCGGATATTCGGTATTTTGACGATTTAAGTCACATTTTCTAATAGATTTGTGTGAAATTTGGTATTTGTACTTCCTAATGGGTTCAACAACCGGCATCAGAACATTGTCCATATTGGTCCTAGTCATCATAGTCACATTTACCCACGAAATTATGTCAAATTTCTCGCAATAGATTACAATCGTTGTAGTACAAAAATTTGCTATATAGGCTCCCGAATGAATCCAGATACTTTTGCATACAAATGTTTTTTTTCACCCAATGGTGGAGGGTATTAGAAATTCGGACCGGACGAACTTTATGTCTTTTTACTTGTTTAAGAATAGTTTTTAAAGTACCATCAGACCACTAAATATGGATGTTTTTAACATGAGTTCATGGAAGTTCAAAATTTTTACTATTTTTGGGGAAGGTACCAGAAGGAAAGATTCGATCTCTACCATCTTTATAACAGATCTTGTGTGGATGGAAAATATTGAGATATACCAAATCTGAAGGGAATCATATGTTAATTTCCCGTTTTATGAGCTTCATGGATATTCAAAATGTTGACCCTTGGTGGGGAAAGTACCAGAAGGAGTGGACCGAGATATCCCATCTCCACATCCGATCTAGTGTTAGTAAAAATAATAGGATATGTGAAATATGAAGAGAACCGGGTGCTTATTTCGGATTTTATAATCGTTTTGGTTATTCAAAACTTTGACCCTATGTGGGGGAGGTACCAAAAGGAATACTCCGATCTCTACCATCTTTATAATAGATCTTGTGTTGATGAAAATATTCAGATGTACCAAGTCTCAATATAAACGGATGGTAATTTCGTGTTCTATAGCTTCATAGAGTTCAAAATTTTGACTTTTTAGAGGGACCACCAGAAGGAGTCGACAGATATATCCCATCTTCACAGCAGATCTTGTGTTAGTAGAAATATTTTGTTGGGTGTAGTTTGAATACAATCGGACTCTTACATCACATTTTCTAAGAGTTATAATAACTCAAAATTTTGACCCTTTGTGGGGGAAGTATTTGATGGAGTATACCGATATTGCCCATTTTCCCACCTGGCTTAGCACTGATTCAAATATTAGGATTTGCAAAGTTGAAGTAAAATCGAATAATCCTTTTTTTTCTATAAGGTAAATTATTTTCTTCGAATATTTGGCTTTTTGTGGGAGGTTCCAAAAGGATTGGACTGATATTGCCCATCTCCGAACCCGATCTTAATATTACGAAGTATTATAACGCTCCATTCGAGTGTTATCGAACCAGCCAGACAGACGGGCGAACGTCCATCCCTAGATCGACTCCAAATATCCTGAAACTGATATGCTTCAAAGAGAACTAGGGTCTAAAGCCGTTATTTTTATGACGCGCGTTTTGGCCATTTGATTTATACCCACTGTAGCCATATGTGATTTTTTGGGAAATGAGTTTCCACATCAAAAATATGCACAAAATAGTTTTCGCATCGGTATCAGACAATAAGTTGATCTGTGGAGTCCATTTCATCCCCGTAATAGTTTGCTATCAATTCTACAAAATGTGGACCCCTTTTCTGATTCTGACATAAACTTCCTACCAAATTTCGTGACGATCGGGCAATAATAGTGACGTGAAGGGTAAATGCAAATTAGCATGGACATACTCGGACAACTATATCGACTAAGCTCGTCGTGGACCTTTGATCACCATTTTGAGGTGTTAGAAAATTTTTGCCAAATCAAACTTATCTCAAACTAAAAATTGTTTTAAGTATACCAACAACTCTTAATAAAGGTCTGGTACCTCTATCACATATAATTTATATAGGGGAGTTTTCCCTACTTATATTTTCGTCAAAAAAATATATTTTTCGAACCTCAGGTATTACCTCCACAAAACAAATAACTCGAAGGTATCTGTGTACGTAGATATCGTATTATTTTGTCTAGAACACTTTATCTGGAATGCCATCGTATTTTTTGTATTTTCCGCAAAATAGTTTACGTTTAAACCCCACACTCAAATAGTTCCCGTAACTCTTAGTGTTATTCCTCCTTCTTCAATTCCATTTGAATGAAAATCTGGTGAGAAAAATTACAACATAAAAACTTTTCTTTTTTCTCTCTCTTTTTTATAACTCTTTTTCTTCTTGAATCTTTTTTCTATGGTGAATAAAACACTATTATGGCTATGGATTTCTACAACAAAAAAATTAAACTTTGGTGATCTGCTCTACTAATCCCTGCAACAACATCCAAAATTGGTGGCCATCAATTTTTTCACAATAGAATGGGTCTAATGCATTTACGCAAAGCCGAACAGCAACAAATCACCCACAGCAATGTCACTGCCGCCAATAACAACAACAACAATAATAATAACAATAACAACAACAATACAACAACTAGTCTCAGCAAACAAACGAAAACCTATCAAAATACCCTCATCAGTTCAGCAACGTCCAATAATAATAGTGGTGGTGGTGCTGGTGGTACTGGAGCTGGAATTGAAAGCAAAATTCCCATTGTAAGGGCCACAGCAGCTTTATTAGATTTAAATCCGGTGGTTGGAACAGCTGTTTCGGGTATGGTGGGGTCTTGTGCCACAATACCACCTTCTCGGAGTTCTAATCGTTTATCAAGTTTGGTGCATCCCGGAGGAGGTGGTGGCACAAGTGGCAGCTCCACTCACCACATGACCTTGAGGGGCCGCTCACGTTTACGTTATCATCATCGCCATAATGATGGAGGTGGTGGTGGTCAACCACCTCCTCCCTGTACCATAACAACGGCTCGTTATTATCGCGATGTTTCAGCCTTGCCTCAGGCTTTGGGTGGCGGCAGTGGCAGTGGCATTGCAGGTGGTTTGACGACACGTTCATCATCGGCCAATTTGGATTTCAATTCGAATCCAGTTGGTGGCACCCTTGAAGAGGCCGGCAGCAACATGAACATTAACAACAACAACAGAAACAATAACATCCAATCCAATAGTTGTAGTAGTAGTAGTTGTAGTAAGCTAGAAGAACGTCTTGGCCACATGGCCAACAACAGCAATAGAAAATCGCCGCCAATCTCATCCTCCTCCTCCAATTCATGTACAGCTACCTCAGTTTCGGCCAATCATTCAAATTCCTCCTCAGATGCAGAAACCCTCAAGTCCACAACCAACAATAACAACAATTCAAATCTCACAAGCCATTCGAACAATAACAACAACAACAACAATAATAGCAACAACAACCACAGTAATGTCCCCATTGATAATAATTTTATGCCAAACACACAATTAAACACAAATTTCTCTACATCTAATTTTTCTAACATCATCCATTTCAATGTTCCCCCTACCACCACCTCCTCCTCGCCCTCTCCCTCCCTTGATAATGACATTTCCCTGGCCATATCCAACCATACACCACCTCCATTACCTACAACAACCTTTTTAACCTCATCATCGTCATCATCTCCCTCACCGTCTCATCATAATTTAGATACAAATCGTCTTAGTCGAAATTCGCAAAGGTCCTCCATGGGTGTAGGCTCTTCATCATCGCACATACCCTCCTCATGCAGTGGCAGTGGTCAATATGCAGGACTACCATACGGCAGCGGCGGTGGCGGCGGCAGTAACATTAAACGCAACAAACGTTCCTTGAGCAGTACTCGCATCGAAAAGGACAAATGTGATGAGTACAACAACAAATTACTAAGGAAAACCAGTAGCAACAACAACAATCAAACAACGTCCAATAACAACAACAGCTCAGCAGCTGCTGCTACCTCATCGGCCAGCATATCGGCGGCAACAACAGCAGCCGCCTCCTCATCCTCAGCGTCCAGCAGTACTTCCACCCTAACCGGTGGTGGCAATTTTCGTTCCCGTTATCTGCGACACACCACCTCCGGCCATTTGGTGGAGTCCTCAACTGCTTCCTCGACATCGTCGGCATCTACATCGGGTATACCCACACCCACTAGTCAAGGTATGTATGTGCCACGTGGCAAATATAGCTCTTCGGTGCTGGCCAATCCAAACAGCGGCCACAACCACAGCACTGAACGTGACCAGCAGCAGCAACAGCAGCGTTTGTCCCTGAAGCTGCGCAAAAAAATAAGTTACTAGAATTTGGGGTATTTACCTATTCGTAGGTATAACAAAGGGAAACGACGTCGAAGAAGAGATTTATTATTTGAAACTTAAACAATTTTTTATTTCCTAATTTTTTCCCTTAAAATTTTATATTCCAATTTTATTTTTTTAAGTAGTACTTGCCCTTCCTTGTCCTAATTTTTTTAATTGTTATCATCAATGATTGTTAAATATTAGAAAAAAATATTTTTATAAAATTGAAAAGTGGTGGAAGATATATTTTTAGAATTTAAATGCTATATTGCCACCGGCTATGTGAAGTGGTTCCAAGAGGTATAATTGGGGTTTTAAACAATATTTGTTATTATTTTTTAATGTTTTATTCTTTTTTTCTTCTTATAGAGAACTAGGATACCGATGAAATTTAGAAGAAAGCTTAATTAACTTCACTGGGGAGATAGACCGTTTGAATTTCCCTCATAAAGATAGAGTGCTACCGAATTTTTTAGTTATAATACGACAAGTTTTTTGTAATGTTTTTTTGTACTGATGCCTCGCCTTTAATCCCTAATGTTTAAAGGTGGACGATCATTGAAAGGTCTTTTAAAAATGAGAAAAAAAATTTGGTGGCCCTTCAAATTTTTGCCATTGAATTTAAGAAGACCTTTGGTAGATTTAAAAAAAAAAAAACATTTTATTAAAAAACTAACAAGAATTCGATTAAGTCTTCTAGTCTACTGTCTATAGAAGATCTCTGTTAAGTTACAGTACAGCAACATATAAAAGACGTAGAAGACTTAATAGTTTTTCTTATGTTAATGATCTCCTAATGAAGGCAGGTCTTCCAAGGCAAATATTATTAAGTTTTCCCACATGTAAAAGACCTCTCGAAAATGTCCAATTGATGGAAGACCCTCCACAGATAGAATGCCCTTTCGAAGGTCATCTGTGGAAGAAGACCTACCTAAGATCGCACTAGAAAATTTTGTAAAAAAAGCTAGCAGGAACTTGATAAAGTCTTCTGGTCTCCTGCCCACTGGAGATTGTCTCTTAGAGGGTCCATTTACATTAAATGCCTACACAAATTACCAACAGATAAGTGGTCAGGGTATTTTGTCTTTCTGCATTTGTTTGTTAAAGTCAAAAGGTAACAAGATAGTTCCTTTTGGATGATTTGCATAGAATTACATTCTGAGTCGATTTATGCATGTCCGTCCCATAGTTCCTTTTGGTTGATCTGCATAGAATCACATTCTGAGTCGATTTATGCATGTCCGTCTGTCTGTCCGTCCGTCTAACCAAGTATTTTAGTAAACAATGTACCGATCCCGATCCCAATGAAATTTTGCACAAATCATTTGTTTGACCCAAGGACGAACCCTATTTAAATTGGAGATAATCGGTAAAAATGTAGATATACCTCCCATATACATCTGCGTCCTGTTTGCCTTGTATTGTGCACTTTCTTTACGGGTTTTCATATAAGGAATTCTATAGGTGTTCTATTTACCAAAGAGGAGATTTACAGTGTCTTCTATAGATGGCAGAAATTCCAAAGGTCTCTTAAAAATAGAAGACCTTCAAAAGGGATTTTTAAGACAAAATGAAAATTCTTAAAATAGTACCACAGAGGCGAAATGGAGAAATATTTTTGTTTTAATTTAAACCGATGACCCTACTACTGAATTTTAACCATTGAACCTCTATGGTTAGTACTTTATTGTTCATAACTATCCCCTGAAGTAGATTCATTTCCCCCAACTTTGCATAATTTTCTAATAGTTAAACTTCATTTGAGGCTCATAATTTACAAGCATATGATGGATATACAACATGACGCTGTGTTTTCTTAAGGTCAGCGAGCGTTTTCTTAAGTTTCGAGACCAACCAACAAAATTATATATTTTTAACGCCAGTATTGCCGGCGACATTTTTTAATATTACTGTTTGATGTCTCACTTAGAAAAGTGTTGGGTAGCACCCTATATCCCCCATGCTTGTTCATGAGAATCTTATAATTTGAAAGTCTTATTCTTAGTCTATCAAAAATCAATGGGTTCATCCTTTTGGACATTATTGGAATTGCCAAGAACTGGTAGGAAATTATAAAAAATTACCTTTTATTTAATTGCATGCGTATATTATATTTTATTAATTTAATGATCTCATTATAAATTATTTTTGAATTTATTGAAATATGTTTCAATACTTCCTAAGACTGAAAAAAAATGGAAATTGAGCCTAAATTATGGAATAGATAGGTCCCCTTTTTTTAAATTATGATGTAGTGGAGTCCGACGGAATTTCGGTGTCACTTTCACAACTATTTCACAAGCTAGCTTTCGTAAAATTGAACGATTAGCTATATTTTTAGATGGATGGTTTTTCACTCCGTCAGTTTTCTTTTAGGTAATGATGACACAAGCATGATGTAAATTTAGATTTGTGCAATATTTTGTTTTTTAACATATATATCATGTTTTAAACACATTTTTAAATCTGAGTAGAACTACATAGTCAAGTTTATCAAAGGATATACATTTCATGTAGTATTTCCCAATTCTAAAACTATATACTTATATAGCATTTATAATTTACAGGGCTGATGGCCCATTGGAAAACGTTTTTTTTTTCTCACAGGCATTTCGTCATCCAAGCGTGGGACTACTTTTAGTGTCCATTGAAAAAATACTTTATTTAAAAAGCTGTCTTTTTGTTTGATGTTTCTAATCGAATCCAATTCTTGAAGGTGTAGAGCAAGGAGCAGAATAATTGTAGTCTGGAGAAGTATTACATGTTAATTATGCTTATAGAGTGCTCCTTCTTGTATACATATATGTATTTTTTTCAAATTATTTACAGATATATAGATTGAATTGCCTTTACATATCCTCTATAGACGAAGATACACCTTAGAAGTCTTAATAAAATAGTTTTAGATGACGATGTCGTGTGACTCAGATTCACAGCATGTTGCCTCATTATACCCTACACCACATAGTGGTAAGGGCATTATGTTTTTGTACATTTGTTTGTAACATGGAGAAGGAAGCGAGATAGACCCATATTTACTTTGGAGGATCTACATAGAATAACTTTCTGAGTTAATTTAAATTAGTCCATCCGTCCATGTATTCTTGTGAACAAAATGAAGGTCGGATTTATTATCAGATTGAGAAGAAATTTTGCAAACAGCATTTTTTGGTCCACCCTATTGAAATTAGTGATAATCGGGTCAGATTTAGATATAGCTCCCATATATCTTCAACCGATTTCGAGTTAATTGTGTACCAAATGGTTAACATTAGTCCAAATGACCTGTATTTTGGTACATCCCAGCGAATTCAGTCTAGAAGCAAATTAATCAAATTCGGAGAAAATCGGTTCAAATATAGCTATAGCTCCAATATATGTATTTCATTCGGTTTGGAGTCGCTCGCATTCGTAATATGCGCTCCAGAAGAATGATATTTGGTACCGTACATCAGATACTGTTCGAAAATATCTCTGTCAAATTTTATCGAGATCGGTTCAGATTTGGATATAGCTCCCATATATATCTTTATCCGATATCAGGTTTATTGCGCACAAAATGGCTAATATCAGCCCAAATGGACTGAATTTTGGTACATCCGACCGAATTCAGCCTAGAAGCAAGTAAATCAAATTTTGTGTAAATCGGTTCAGATAAAGCTATAGCTACCATATATATATATTTCCTCACATGCGTAATATTCGCACCAGAAGAATGATAATTGGTACCGGACATCAGATACTGCTCGAAAATACCAGATCGGTTCAGATTTGGATATAGCTCCCATATCTTCATCCGATTTCGGGTTAATTGTGCACCAAATTGCCAATATCAGTCCAAATGACCTGAGGTTTGGTAGATCCGACCGGTTACAAATTTGGTACCAGATATCTTATAAAGCTCGGAAACACCTTTGCAAAATTTTATCGAGAACGACTAAGATTTGGATATAGCTCACATAATCCGATTTCAGGTTTATTGTGCAAATAATGTTAATATCAGCCCAAATGGAGTGAATTTCGGGACGTACGTTTCCATTTTGTGCAACTTGGCTCCGATATATATATTTTTTTAAAATAATCCTTTTCCAAGTAATATCATGCACTCTATAGCAAACTATAACTGCTCTAGAGGCAAATGTTGATGATCTACTTGAAATAAATTCTTTTGTTACGGGAGCTCTACTAAATATGCATAGTGGTGTAGGGTATCATATTGTCGGTCCCGCCCGACTTTTTACTTTTCCTTACTGGTTTTCAATGGTGATTGATTTCTCATTCTCTTTCCAGTCTAATATCGCTACAGATTTATGACCTCATTGTTGGATGAGATCCTTCAATTTGCTCCAGCTTCAAACTTTTTGCGTCGAATATTTTCTGAAATCACTATAACTCTTATAATACTTGAGTAATAGACTGATATCTATATCCTTTCTACATCTCTAAAACATATTAAAGCAACGACGATATTTGTTTATATTACTTTTAATGTGCAATTAAGAGTAAATAATAAGCAGACAATTAAAAGAGATTTTCTTTTTTTTTATAAAATTTTCTTCAACCATCCATCCAAACATCTTATATAGATAAGTATTTTCAAATCTTGTAACAGATGGAAATATTGCTTCTAGTATTGGTTTCATATAAAACTATGCTAAGAGCCCGGTGTTCGCTTAGAAATTTTAGTGAGAATTCGAATTTAATTGTACCCCTAACAGAGGTCAAAGTTAACATTGTGAAATAAATTTTTTGAAATTAACTAAATTGAACCGTTTTTAAATCCCAACAATCATTGATGATATGCAATTTTCTATAAAAAATGATTTGATTTTAAAAATATTATTTAAATTATTTACGATTATTGAAATAAACAACCTTTAGTCTCTTAATTGTCCCCCTTTATAACAGATTCAAATATATATTCTAAAACTTAAGTGCAAATATTAACAAAAACAATGCGAATGAAATGAAATGAAAAAACAAAAACATTATCTTGTTTC